GGTTCACCAGGCTGTCTACGCAGCATTGCACGAATCTGGTGGGGCAGCCGGACGGGTAATGCTGAGATCAGGCGCAAAGTTTTGGGCAATCGCGGTTGCCCACTGGAGCAAGTGGTCGACCTCCACAGATTATGTTTGTTGGGATGTGTTACACATGTCACCAAATAGGTTGCCACAGCGAGCGATGTTTGCCGAGGCAGGCGGTGGTTGGAAAAAAACCAATGGTGGTTAAGCTAAGACCTGGCACGGGGGGAGGGAGTATGAAAACCCTAACCAGGAATCTGGGTCACGTAGGTCCCGTAAGGCTGGATGGGGACCTCGGGATGATGGTACCTGATGGTTAGAGACTGTGTGATATGGCTGAGTGTCGTAAATAGTGTCGTTCGTGCATCTTCTCAATTTCTCTGCAACATTAGTCCACCGAAATTCTTTGTTCCTACTTTCAACCTTTCCTGTTTTTCTCCTACTGTTCCTAGAAATGGGCAGCCAAAAGACAGCAACCAAAACCGGCGCAAGAGAGAGTATATATATATATATATGTTTTTTTAACACGTATTCAATTACATAGAATTGGCAGATGTGCCATAACATATGAAGAAGGAGATGTAATATCGGTTTAAGTGTAAATCAACGAATAAGTTTCGCAACAGGTGCGCCATTGTCGCCGGTTACCAGCCATGTCTGCAAGCCATAGATGTTTTCTGTCCCTGGGACCCCAACCTGGGAGTCTTCAGCGCCCTACCACTGCCAGTTTTGAGGTTAGCGCCTTTACTGTTCGAGCCCAGGTTAATCGCTGTCTATTGGGTCGCCGCTTCCAGTTAGTGTCTGTTTACGCAAACATAACAAGACGGAGTAATCGTTGATCCGGCATCCGCAACACATATCCTAGCCATCGAAATCTCTGCAGTGAGATGACGGTATTCCGAGGAAGACTGACCTTGTCTGTAGTGAAGATTTTTCGGTGAACCTCGTCGTTGGTGTTTCGCCGTTGACAACGTTTTCTGGCGATGCAACGAAGACAACGGTGGTCAAGGACATCTAATCTTCGTACGTCTTCTGCGTAGAGCGGCCAACTCTCACAGCCGTAGAGTAGGACAGAGCGCATTGTGGCATTGTAAGCGCAGCCTTTTAAGGAGATTGAGATCGCGTCGGCGCCACAAGTGACATGGGTTAGCGAAAGACACTCGAGCCATTCGGATACGCGCTTATATTTCTTCCGTCAGTCATCTTGAGCTGAAACAACTACCGAGATAAGTAAAGTGATTGACGACCTTCAACTAGTTGTTCATGAGCGTGACGACAGGCGTAATCTCTTGCCAGTCTTGTAGTAAAACCTTACATTTCGATGGAGAAAATGTCATACCAAACTGCGTGACGGACAATGCTAACTCACAGGACGTTTTGAGCGTCCTGGGAGGAGTCGCAGAGTAAAACGATGTCGTTAGCATAGTCAAAGTCACGGAGTCGAGCACCTGGGAAGAGCTACACACCGGAAGCGCCGCCTAGGATTATACCTATTGCGAAATTAAAGAGGAAGGGCGAAGCTGGGCACCCTTGTCGAACACCGCTTGTAATGTTAAATGAAGGGGAGATGCGATCATAGACATTGACGCGGCTGACGTATTTGAGTGGACGGCTTTGAGAAGGTTTACATACTTCTCAGGCACACCGCTTTCTAACAGACAGGTCCAAAGAACTGCTCTATCAAACGCAGCAAGTATGTCTAAAAACACAATGATGGTCGGTCTATCGAACGTTTGACGTCGCTCGAGGATCTGGTGTAGCGTAAATATGTGACCCACGCAGCTCTGGCCAGGGCGGATAGTGCATGGTTAATGGTTGTACAAACTGAAACTGAAGTAAGTACGCCGATTCGTTCGGTACGCAGTTTGAACCCAGACGAACATGGGAAAAACACCGGACGAGCACAGTGATGGGTATTGCCCACAGTTGACTGTCCTGTCAACACAGTGGAAGCTTCGAGTAGTCGGTTCAGTCAGAACACGCGGCTGGGTGCGGTTAAAAAAATGAACAGATATGATCGAAGGTACAACGTTGAAATTGTAATCGATGTGAACAAAAAGTCCGTGTATGTTGTCCTTTCTACTTGCCACGGGAAGGCTTGATACTCCAGGAGTGAGGCGGAGGAAGAAATGATTCACAAGCGTCGGGACAGCTAGGACCACATAACTCAGTTGTGATACACAAACAAACTCAGAAACAAGGCATGTTGTCGCCCATTTGAATTCTATGTCTGATTCACGCAACCAACCCTTCTGGTGCTTGAGATTTCTTAAACACTGGCTACAGAAAGCACATATACATGAATGTTTCCAAACACATGATTCGAATTGTGGCTATATAAAACAGTTTAATACGACACCGAAGGGAACAAGGAGTGTAATGTTAGCAGATCATTTTCCAAAATATTGTCTCAAATGGGTATTTGTGACTCAGTGGTGGACTGAGATCTAGTAAAGGAAAATATTAAATTAGATATGGTTCAGTGTGTTCGTGTCCAATTAGTTTATTCACAGATAGTGAAAAAATCAGTTCAGTTCAGTTCACTTTTTACAACCACTGATCACGCACTTTTATGTGCCGGTTTTGGTTACTCCCCCATGACTGCTCATTTGGATTAAGGAGTAAATGCAAGATTGGAATGTTCAAATCAGTGTCATGGCGAAAATAGAGAATTTATGAAGACCCAAGTAGCAAGGACATTGAGTAGGTATATGAGCGCCCCTGGTTACGACACTGAGTCATATTACTATGTCACTAACAATTGAATGCAATGATCCCAATGTTCCCATACAGAAAGTCTAACGCGACTTATGTGAGGAAGTCTCCCGGTCAGGGTTTTCATATCTTTATGCCAGGTCTGGGTTTGACCACCCTTGATTTATTCCACCCATCACCCTTGGTAAACAGTACGCGCCGTGGAAATGTATTTGGTGACATTCATACGGAGGTTGACTAGTTACCTCAAGGGGGGACTGTGATTACCTAAAACTCTGCGCCTAACCTCAGCGTTGCTCGTCCTGCTGCGCCACTAGACTCGTGCAATGCGGTGTTCAAACAACGACAGCCTATCTTTGTCTCGCTTGTGTAATGAAAAATTCTGTGCGCCATATTGCAGCACCGGGCCAAACTGCTGCAGTATAAGCTCGACCGTTTACAGATAGCTGAATGTTGCAATCGTGCAATAAATGTCTCAAGTTGATAAATGCCAATCGAGCCCTCTGTACGCGTGCCAACACTTTATTCATGCTGTAGCTGCACAGACTTCCCAGTACTAGTACTTACCAAGGTAGAGTGGGTTTGGGAGTTGGACCAACCCAGTCCTGTAGCAACATTTGTCCTGGGTCGTATTGCATTTATGCGTTAGCGACTTATATACACGTTTTTAGCTTTACACTTTGAAAGTGCAAAAAGCATTCCGACTATAGCTACGGTGGCACTCAAACTATTAAGAAAAGCTTACAACTTACCCGGATCTTCACTTAGCAGTATACTGTTCTAATAAATCGGTAAGATAACTATTTCACACCATTTGGTTGAAACCTATTTCCTTTCCCATACTGAACCCAGGGGTTTCCTCGACTCTAGGACCAAGACTGAACCTCCGTCATTAAAAAACCGATGGGGTCAGTACACTTGGGCATATATCTTACAGAGTGAAAAGTAACCTTTTTTACTGCAAATAATGAGAATTACAGTAGAAGGGGAAATTCCCATAGTCAAAAAGCATAACGCAAAGAGGAGAGTACGGAAACATTCATGCAAAATACAGTTTCTTGATTTTACGTTTAAAGAGTGAAAGATTGGCTAATAGTCAAAGAGTGGGTGTGTATTCCACAACTTGCCAGCTCCCAAGAAGGACGATTGAGGTAGAGAGGTATGAAAGGTTGATATGAATGACTAACCGTCTGTGTACAAGATGTACGGGAAGTGTTCAGGTAGGTTCCGACCACTGGTAGTTCACCTACGGGAGTTGGCCCAAAACCCTGATTTCAAACCAACCACGAGGAGGCATACAAACCACACCCACAACTTCTCGGTTGTGGCAGTGGTCACCGGCTCATTTGGGCATTGACGTGTATTGGGCACCTTGGACATTTGACCCCGTCCGAAGGGTGTACGATCCCATGAACTGGGCACCGATTCTCAATGGACCGCGGTTTTCACACATTCCCGCTGCCTTGCGAGTCAGACTTTGGCTAGCCGAAGGCTCCGGTTGTGGATTCCTTGAGAAAATTGACCAGCCTTGGCCTGGGCAACCAGGCACTATTCAGCTCACAAGCCAATCATGGAACGTTTTTCTTTTTCATAAAGATCATTGTACCATGATTTACTTGGCACACAGTCTGTCCTCAGACAAGTGTGAAATATAGTAACAATAATAATAATAAAGTTCCGAATCAAACTGATAGTGGTAGAGAAGGGAAGGTGAAGCCATGGCTCGAGGACGGGTTAGTAACTGCATATTGGAATTTAGGGAAGGGTCACTGATTAGCCGGATGGCCTTTCATTNAGGCAGAAGACGAAATTTCATCCCACACGTGACTTCAGTATTCAAGAACACGGCGCAGCTGACCTTCGTATCGTAAGGGAAGGTGAGCTGGGACAAAGAAAACCAATTTTGCATTTAGTTTAAACGAGTTGTGTACCCATTTCGAAGGATATCTAGAGCTGTCGATATTTAGGAATACCGTTTGATCGATAAGATAAAACTTTAGTCTGGAACGCAAAAAATGACAAGTGTCATATTAGCAGTAGATGTAACTGTTAGCTTATCTACTGGATTAGATAAGCATACAAACAGGCACATCTGTTGGGTATTTGACATAAATTCATGAGGGATATTTGTATCCGGTCGTAAGCACGAACAGCTGCTAGCTTCAACGGGTATAATACTAAGCATCCACTCGCTCCACCCTTCACCCACCCACCCCACCCCCCACGCACACTTGTCGACCCATACAAACAATCATACTCACCTGTAACTCCCGAATAATTTGTGATCGCACCATGGGTTTGATTTCCAAATGGATATTTTTCTTGGCCATGATCAGACCGGTTGCGGTGTGGCGTACTTTGAACACCACCCCACCATTACCTTTGCCCAGTTCATCGATTTTCTCGAAATCTTCCGGTCGGAGTTCGCCGATTTTCTGTTTCTCCGATACAAATGCGCTCAGTCGTTTCCGCTGAGCATCATCCAAATCTTGCGCTTCCAGCTGGCGTAGTCTGCAAACCGGGGGTGGGGGAGAAGAGATTAATCGAAACAAGATGAATAAATTGATTTGAGACCAGGTTATGAGCAGCTTTCATTTTATCGAATACAGGATTTTTCAAACAATATTCAGGAAAGGAGAAACGCCGAATAAAGGGGCTTGCGCGTAGTAAAAAGAAACTGTGGTAGGGTTTGAACATAATCTCTGCTGCGTTACGCTGGCAACCTTAGTTACTTGTCCTGTGTCATTACACTTATCCGCCCGTCTACCGAACGTTTCCGTAAGTACCGCATCATTGAATGTGAGCAAGGTGGATCTACAGTTTCTTCATAATCACCATCGTACAGCGAAATACAGCGAAGTGAACCTCATTGATCGCTGCGAAACTCATCATGCATTCAAGGTCAGTGAGAATGTGTAAGGAGGATAGGGATTAGGCCTATTTCGAAGGACAGGGAAAGAAGGCGAACCTCTATGGTCAACACACACACACACACAGAGTACACAGCCTATCTGTGCATACACATCATTTCAAGCATTCTAGTCTGATAAGAAGTGACAGCAAGATAGCCACTGCTGTCGCTGTGCTACCATGACATTCAACATCACCAACTACCCAGTTATGAAGTCTTGCACCCCAGCCCGGAAGACGGGAGACACCTACCCTACCTACTCGCATTGTGCATTCCTTAATGCCTCGTTTGCACGTTACCTAAAATTTTCAACTTGTTGATTCAATGGCAACCTCTTCGCCAAGCACTGAATGTATGCCTGAACTCAAGTATCACCCTTATGCATGCGTCCGAGCGAGAAGCTTGTGCCAACTAGACAGAGCAATTATGCATTTAATGATTGTCATGTTAGTCCAATGTTAGTAACACGCAAAAGCACCTCAGGCTTTGAACAACAGAATTGCAGTGTAAGTCAACGAGACAAGTAATATACACCATCCGTCTAAAAAACAGATCATGAATAGTCAATGGGGGAGAGAGAGAACCACAACGAATTCTGAATTTGTTCTGGAGTTCGGATTTTCAAAAGAAGTTGAAAACTGTGAACAACTACTGTGAACATGAGATTCATGACTGAGGACGAGTGGGTGGAAGCCAATTTTTACATCCTATGAACGTGCTCTCACACATCGTGAAACACACACACGCTTTCGTCCGCCTGAAAAAAACAACAGTACCGTACCGATTCATCAGGATTGATGACATCCAAGTGAAACAGGATATTGGGATCGGACTAGGTTGATGGGATGACATTGATAGAAGATGAGTAAATGGAAAATCTTACAACATGGGCTTTCGCAGTTCACAGTACAGATCAGAAAATCGGACCAAACCATACACCAGGTACATTATACAAATGGAACAGTCAGACAAGCGAACCATCGATGATAGGGAGTGAGTACAAGACTAGTGTAATTCCGGACTTATTCCGATGCTTGATAGGGTGACTGATACCTTCAGCGAATAAAAAAGCTCATCAGGATAGTAAAGTTGTGCTACTTAGAGACAAGCGGGCACGCGTCCCTACCTACGGAGAAGAACCAGTTGACTATACATTAAGCCCTGTAGTCAGGAAGGGTTGTCCCTTATGGGCAGTGTTATTCAATTACACCGTAAATTGCATAATGCAACTAGCACTCATCGGCTACCCCGAAGTCTAGCTTGGTCCAGGTACATGGATCGGGGACCTCGAATTTGCGGATGGTATCACTGTACTTGGAGACACCATGGACAACCTCCAAGCTGCTGTCAGTCAAATCAACCAGCCTGGACAGACCATTGGGCCAGAGATCAACACGACGAAAACCATGGCATTTTCGACCGAAACTTCTGTCACGAAACAAACCCTCAGGATTAACGAGGAGCTTGTCGAATCAACTCAAGTTTTCAAGTATGTTGGCTCTACATCCAGACCAAATGGTCAGGATAACTTTGCTTAGATAGAGTTAGAAGAGCCTTCCTACAACTCCTTATCTCACTGTAGAACTTACACCAAGATTCAAGTTTATCAGACTTAGATCCATCCCATCATCATTTGTGGTTGTGAGACACTCCCCCTAAGAATACAAGATACAAAGAAGCTTGAGGTCCTTGACCATTAGTGCTTACGTCGAATCTCGAAAGTAAACTGATGATGAGGTTCCACTGCGCTGCTGGAAAATCGACAACCTTTTGCAAATGCAACAACACCGGTGCCTTCAGTGGTTTGACCACATGCTTCGAAGACCCGGCACTCAACCCTCGCGGCAGGCTGTAGCTCCTGCACCCTGCCGTGAATGGTATTGCCGACTGGGTGGCCAACTGAAGACCTGAACCAATACGATCAAGGTGGATACGAAACTACTGGGCTTCCAGTCCGCGTATGGAAATCCCAACTGGAACTAAAATTGGACCTCACATTGCGTCACGCGTGGACTGCCATCATCAGAGACATCTAAGAAGCCAACTTATTGTTAAGCAAGAGTTGGTCGCTCAAAAGTAAAGTACGAATAAAAAAACATCGACATCTGATATTATCCCAAGCAAATAGATTTGGGAATAAGGTAAATATCCATTAGACGATGTGTGATGAACAAGTGAACATGTTCATCATTTACATTCAACACGTAACCAGTTGACAGAATTGTCAATAGTGCCTCAACCTATGGAAGAAAAATGTGAATACAAATCAGTAACTGGTGCGCCATTGCCGACGATTTTGAGCCATGTCGGTTAGTATCTGTTTATTAACAACCATGAACAGGAAGCCCTACTCATCGCCCTCAAGCAGCAAAGGGGTTTCCTCACCAAAGTCAGTGGACGAAAGTTCAAAAGTCAGAGTCATAATCGAGTCGGTAAAACAATACAACACAATACCAGAAGTTCACCCAGGAAGTTTGTTAGCAACCCTGATTTTAAATCAACCAGGAAGAGGCGTACAAACCACACAGACCTTCCTGATCGTGAAAGTCCTCACCAGCTCGACTGGGCATCGAGGAGTGTTGGGGCACCTTGGATGTCCGATTTCGATCGAAAGAACTGAACACCGGCTCCCAATGGATTGCGGTTGTCACACCACTCCGCTGCCTTGCGGGTTAGGTTTTGTCCAGTCGAAGACTTCGATTGTGAATTTCTAAAGAAAATTTAACTGCTTTGGCCTAGGTAACCTGGCAGTATTGCATCCATTAACAAAGAATATGCCCTTTCTTTCTCAAACCAATTGGCACGCAGTCTGGACTCAGATGCGTGTGAAATATAATCATATAAACATGCCGACCGCATTGGTTGAATATATTGAGATCGATTGTTTTACGGACGTTAGGCGCCATAGCTGAGTGTAGCCGACAGTTGTGCGCGCGTCCCCATTCGTCTACAATTGACTCAACTTCAATATTCTCCGCTTTATATATCTTGGCTTGACTTTTAGTCTCACTCATCACTGATGGAGCGGAAAGGCAAGGGAACGACCACAAGCAAAACTAGAAACAAGCAGTACATCAACCAAACTAAGATGCTTTCTTTTTGTCGATTTGTGATTTCCAATTCTTTTCTCAAAAGGAATCTCTCTTGGATTTGTAGTTCGATTACCTTTGTAGCTTGAATGCCTCCTGTTTATCCGTTCCTTCACATCGAATCTTTTTATCCCGTACTCTCACTCTCGCTGTCTACTGAATCGCGTGTCCCAATTTTCATCGCTTTTCTCCGCCTATTTGGGGCAAAAAATTCCTATCCCGTCCTAGACATCTTTTAATCTATGCCGTATTCAGTTTCAGTTTGTACGACCATTAACCATGCACTTTCGTGCACTGGTTTTGGTTGCTGTCTTTTGGCTGCCCATTTGGACGACAGTAGGATAACGACAGGAAGGTTGAAGGTAGAGTCGAAGAGAAAATTGAGGACTCCAATAAGTTATGGCTGCAAAGAAATTTAGAAGTGCACGAGAGCCGCTGTTTACGACACAGCCATATCATTCAGTGTCTCTAACCATCGGTTATGATCATCCCGAGGTACCCAGCCTCGGGATGATCGTAACCATGCCGTATACAGCTCGAATTCGCTATATACTTCAGAAATCGTCAAGTTGCTTCTATCTGTCAGGGACCACAAAAGGGAGTTTCATATAGAAAGTGCTTCTCATACTCCATTCATTTGCCCCCTCCCCTTTTAACCCTCTCTCAGGTTTTTCATTAATCGATAATCTAGGCAAGCTTTGCCAGTCACAAAGTCATCAATCAGAAATTCACCCAGGGTCGCACATAGTTGAATTGCAACTATTTTTAATCTACAGGGGTGGGGATAGTCAAAATGAGCGATGCGCCCAATTACTGTCGTCTTATTATGAAAAGCTAAAATCAATATGCTAATTAATTTACTTCCAACCTTAAATGTTTGCACACATACATTTGCGAACATAACTTTGAAACGTACAGAAGAACTCATTTCCTTTCTTACCCTCTCCCCTCCACAGTCGTAAGATGCACTTCAGTGTTATTTAGGTTTTCAGGAAACCTCCCGATGTGATAAACATCAACTACGGTCAATATCATGATACAGCATTTGGTGGAGAGAGTTGGGGAAAAACGATCATGTAACACAAGTACGCATGATGTTTGAACTGTTCCACAATAAAGCGAGCGGGTAGGTGGGTGTGACTACACAGATGGAGCAGCACATAACCATATACGAAGTGGGATTTATTAATCAAAACAGCTTCGGCCTCGATTACCATTGTTATCCACCTCCTTCGTCTTGGGAGGCGAATGCACACAGATCGTCTGATGCACAGAAATCAATATAATCTGCATCTCGTGGGCTGAGTCACATTGCAGTATACCACGAAATGATGCAATTATTATAAAGCATCCAACAATGACTTTATCCGACCATGTGTGTGTGTGGTGCTGGAACTGGAGCCATGAAAATGTGAAAAATTTGGTCTGTTACACAAATCCAGGGTAGAGAACAAATATGGGATGGGCATGACGCAACTAGTTGCCGCATGTATGTCAGAGAACAATAGAATAAAAAAATAACCCGAGTAAAACAAACAGCACACGGTGTAATGTGTGTTCTCCATAACCCAGGGATATCTGTCACACTGCTTCTCCAAATGCATTAACATGATTGCAGTCGATTTGTGTATGTGTGTGCGTATGTGTATGACTGGAAAAGCGACCCCGATGCGTTAGCTGCAATCTTCGGTCCAGATGGCTTATCGGTACACAACAAACTTCATTTTCTTCCTCTTCAATGTGAATTCCATTAGGAATAAGTTAGGTACTCAGTACAGACACAGGATACCAGACACCCATACCCGCACACTAATATATATATATATATATATATATATATATATATATATAT